CCCAAAACATGCAAGCAAGCATCTACTCTAAACAGCGACCTCCGCCTGCTGCCAGCGTCGGACAGCTCCCATGGGGTCTGTTCGAAGCAGGTGTGGGGGGCTGCAGTCCAGTACACACTGCAGCACCAATTCCAGATGACTCGGTTAGTATTTGGCCTAGATCTGCTACCAATCGCATGCACATACAAAACCAGTACAGTATGCTGCAGCAGCATCATAACACCTCCAACAATGCAATCTCAATCGACATGACATCTTGTGTCTTGCAGGCTAAACTCCCGAACGACACATCATCGGTGTTGCTCAAAGCTGATAAGGTTGTATGTGGTCAGGCGTCTGGCGTTCCCGCCCCGAAAAGGGGGGGCTGGCACGTGCGGAGAGGGGTCCGGGCTGTTGGAGCTGCAGCTGGAGGGGCGGCCAGGGGCGGCCGGCCGAGCGCGTGACCTCATATGCCATGTGTGACCCCGGTGAGAATCGGGAAAGGGAGGCAGAGGGAGCGGGAGGGAGGGAGGGGGAACAGGGCCAGGGAGCACCATGCGGCTGGAGCTGGTTTGCACGGAAGTCGACATCACCGTTGGCCGATTGAAGAACACTGAGACGACGAGAGAATGTAGAGAATCGCTGAATTGAATCGCTGATGTGGGATCCCACAGCATGCCTTCCTTGACTCGTACCAGGACTTGCTCCAGGTGTAGGTTTGCAAACCATGCCTCAGTGCCAGCGGTACTGGAGTTCCAACTGTTCCCAGGGCTTGGCCATGCTTGGCCGTTCACAGACATTGCATCGTGAAGTCTTGAAGTGACGAAGAGAAGCAAAAGGCGCATTCACACGTATTCCTGGGATCGGAGTCACAAGCTCTCGGACTGTTGCGCCGGCCAAGGTGAGCATGGAATACACGGCATCCGCGCGGAGCCAGGTCTTGGGTTCAAGGCTTTCAAACATGCAGTGCGTCGGGCTCACAGGTCTTTCTGCTGTACTGCATGTCCAACAATAGGTAGCAGTCCATCCCGTTTCCTGCATTGTCTCAGCCCCTCACATTCAGTCCAGAGCGGCATGAGAGTACGCCTGCAAGTTTCCAAAGCAGCTAAGCCAAGCATCGCGGAAGTACAGCTGCAACTTCTGTCAAGCTCACTGCGCACCTAGCATGAGGGCCAAGAAAAGCTCACCGCAGGGAACCGCCACCAAAGCCTATGTCAAGATGGGTTCTTGATGCACTGTCTGCGTGATTCAAACACTCAGCTCCTCCGCAAAGGCGCTTTCATGCTACAAGTTCACGTGTTAGTGGCGTCGCCATGAGACGCAACAGATTCTGCTATCCTAATGCACCTTGAAATCGAACGTCCGACACGCCACTGCTGGACATTACGGGCGCGGGTTTCTGATATCTGAGCTCTCGAGCCCATGCATTCTCCTGAGCAAGCGTGAAAAGCTTCATCGCGCCCACCAGCAGGTCTGCAAGCCTGCATGTGATACGTCGTGAACACCAGCTGGGTGTTTGTTAGATGGCTATTGAATATCGCACAAACAAGCAGTGCTGAAATATTGCCCCCAATCAGAGACATGGACATCAGTGACCGGAGATCCTGGGGCTGTGGCCCTCCTGGCTTCAGCGCAGCTTCCAAGGCCGGCTGCTGGTCCTGCAAAGTCTTACGAGGAGCTAGGACCGCTACTCGTAAGACTCGGCAGGTGGTGGGGCCGAAAAGCAAGACCGACTTGTTGCATCGATTTCTTGCGCACCGCGCCTGCGGGACAATCTGGGCCTCAACCAGTGCCTGTGGTCACTCACTTACTTTGCGATGCCAGAGGAAGAACCCTCGACTTGGAGAGACCCTGATCAGCATAGCATTGAGCTAGAGCGATGGTCAATGCATTTCAATACCGAAGGAAGACATGCAGTCCCGAGCGGTTGCAGATCACTGGCAAGCTTTTTTGGCGTGTGCTCTTTCGACAGCAGCTGGATGAATTATTGGTCCCGCACCGCTAACACAACCACTTAATCATTTGGAGTCGGTTTGCGGAACTCCTGAGAAGGCATGTAAACACCCAAGGAAGCTGACATGACACGAAGCTCAGGCCGCTTGGCCCCACGAGCAACGGGTAGAAATGGTTTTGAGGTCATTGAGGTTCATATGCTTGGGGCACGCGAAGCAAAACTGCCACTGTAGTGTAATTAAAAGAAGCTCTTGTACTCAACAAAACTCAGATGCCTGCTTGTCCTGGTCTGTGTGTGTGTGTGTCTTGACTCTACCACAGTCTGGTAAATGTGGTTTTTTTGAACGCAGAGGCAAACGTTTGCCTACCAAACTGAAACCTTTTCTCCGAAGGATGTCGGGTCAGCAGGCGGAAATCTGACAGGACGGGCAGGCGAGATAGGATCTCACAGCAAACTTGCGGACGAAATGTGCCTCTCGATTTCCAACTTGCTGGCAGCATCCAGTAATCAATTTCCAATGGTGGTGCTTGGCAGGTGCTTGGGTCAACATGCGCTGCCGTCCGCAGCTAGGTTTGCTGCACGACCCTCATGGCCAAGCCACTCGACTGCCAAATTAAGAACAGAGTTCAATCTGCAATCGTTAACGACAGTCAAATCCCTCGGCCAGACACGCGGCAATATGCAATCTCTTCACAGTAGACAATAGGTACTAGCATGTTGTACTGAGTTCACCCGGCAACCTTCACAGTCGCCGTCACCGTCCACCGCTGTCAATACCAGCGCAAGGGCTTACGCCTGCCGCATTGTGACATGCCCTCAACACCAGCAGTGAGCGGGGGCTCGGTGGCTCTCTTCCATGACGCTGCCCCTATTTCAGACTCCTGTAATGCCTGCTAAATCTGCTGCTAGAAAGCATCTTAAGTAGTGGAGACAAGACATTACAGTTTCAAGCCTCATGCTTTGGTGTAGGAGCGTTCAACAGCCCCAGAACCTATCCAACTAAAGCTCCACTGAGTAAAGCAAAGCACCTCTCAGCCTTACAAGGCTTTACGCTTGAAAGCTTAAGTGGAAGCTAGACCGGTGCGGCTCTTCAACAGTACGCCGTGCCGCCTGGCCCCTCCTTGTACCGCACTTGCGACAGAACAGCGCGTCGGGCAAGAAAGTGCTGCCACAATTGGCGCACGTTGAAGCTGCCTGCTCATCAGACAGGTCCGACTCGCGAGCTGTGGGCCCATGTCGTGTTTCCTTTCACCTGCAGAGCACGGCAGCGTACCCAAACGCCTACGAGATGTGACCTCTACTTTACAAACACGGCGACATGATGTAATATGGAATGGTCCAATCGGCAGATTCAGCTGTCGAAACAGAACCCCCCGAATGGCAGTGCCTGTAAGCCGCCACCGACTGCTCCAGTCACAGGTGCATATCCCTGCGCTGGGTTCAGCAAGTCCTAAGCACGACGAAAGCTTGCGTTCGACAGCATCGGGTAGAACTTCCGAGGAGTCGGAGCCCGCAGTTCAGCATTCAGTTAAGAAAACAAGCGGATTGCGCTTTCCGTGCTGCGACTTCAATGTTACTAGCATTGCCCAAACTCTGCTCCCTGGACCGCCCATCCAGACTTGGGGGTGAGAGGGGTACAGGGAGTTAGAGTGTGGGGATGCAAGGCTAAGGCTTCGGCTGGATAGGTGGGCATGTGCTGCACTGCGGAGCCCATGACCTCAGGTCATGCCCACCCGGCTGGTTGGAGTCACTTCAACATACTTCAACTTCAACCATGTCTGAGACTCGCATCACAGTTGCGGGAACAGCTCTCATGCAGGAAACTGAAACGAGACGAAACAAACCCGAGTGACAGCTCCAAGAAACTTCGGGCCATCGGGTTCTGCCAAAACCCCTTGCTGGCAAGGCAGCCAGGCGGCCAGTGGCTCCTGAGGTGCCATTGGAGGTTCTGGGACCTGCAGTGTCAACGGAGATGAAGCGCTTCAGCTTGGAAGGCAGCTTTCGGGATTCCGCACGCGAAAGAAAGCTGGCAACAAGATGCTTTCTAGGTCCCGAATGCTGTCAATGCTTCACAGACGACTCCATCCAGGCATGCTGATGTTCAAAGCCTTCGTGACAAGCGGTGCTTGCGCAGCTGTCGCTGTTACCGTGGTGGCTGGCATCGGAGACACCTGCTCATCCAGGATTTGGTGCGGGGAGTTGTAAATGTCTAGACATGTCCGGGCGACGAACAGCGCCCGTGTATTCAAGACGACACGCAGGCTTTAAGCACGAGTACTAATCAGCACACCTCAGGCAGAGTTGCTGACTATGACTGCTAGCTTGAGCTTGCATGTACTTCGTGAAGGGGTGCGCAAGAAGGCAACTAAATATTGCTCCGAATATGGAAATCATAAGGCCGTGCACATCTCAGATAGCCTCCAGGCAAGCTCCAAAACAATCCATGCCAGATGTGAATCGGAGAAGTTTCGTCAAGTCGGGCCTGGTAAGGATGGTAAGACATCGGCGGCACCGGTGGCGTTGCCACTGCGAAGCTGGAGGTCATCGGCGCAGCATAAACCTTGAGCTATGACACTTCCACAATCACTTCCACCAGCTGGGGGTGTGTCAGGCAAGGCCTTATCCCGCCTGTTCAAGTAGCCTGGATTATGCTTCACTGAACGAAACACCCAAATGCTTCTCCGCAGGGCTTCATACTTGACGGAAGCTGGCATGCATCTAAGCAAATCTGCAAACTGTTGGCTGAAAGCATTTGCCGCTCAGCTGTGCGCTTTTTACTGACATTCGGTCAGAAGCTGCTTCTTCTCGCAGATGTTGCCCTCGCAACGCAACTCCAGGTGTGAGACGGGGAACCGGTCTTCGGCGGAAACTGAATCCGCGGATTTTGCTCATATTGGTCTCGTTTTGTCGCACAAATGGCTGGCACTGTGTCTGGCAAGAAGCGGCGGGCACCGTAGCGAAAGCACCGCGCATAAGAACACACCTTCCAGCTTCTCCAGAAGCTCTTTCTGCTTCGACCGGCGAGGCGGAGATTTGATTCAGCACGGGGTAAAGTCAAAGCAGCGCTCTACTCGACGACTGTCGCCGGCATTGCCATGGGAAGCTTCAAGCTTCGGACCAGCGGGACCTCGGTCAGATCAGTCTGGCTCCGGTCTCCAGTGCAGATTCACAAGGTTGTCCTATCTTCGCGATAGGATTCAACCCTTGCTCGGAGTCTTTACGGTTCGTATCATCAAAACACATCCAGATTTACGGAGTTCAGACAAGGATCTCGATGGTAGCCGTTGTACCTTAGCCCAGGATCTGCACGAAACTACCCCAAGATAAACCGCAGTCCGCCAAGCTTTCAGCTAGATGTGCATGCGCTATCTCTTGTGATGTACAGTAACACCAGCGTGCCATGATCATCGGCGATCGCAGTCTTGCCAACTTACATTTGAGCAGCTCAGACACAGGGAAGGATGTATGGGATCGAGGAGGGCACGGATGGGGGGGAGAATGGATGAGTGGATGAATGATTCAAGGAGCGGAGGAGGAGAAAGGGGATGGGCACCCGGAAGTCTCCATCGCCACCCTAGACTCACGCTTGCCCGAAGCACCTGTGAACCTTCTGCAGACCGACAGCGGGCTTTGGATGCCGACCCTGCGCCGCCCCAACCAAACAAAGGCAGATAAAAAAAACGCCGGAGCATATGTTGCAGTCAGAGATGCATATAGCCTCCCTGTGGTAGAGAAGACTCAGGCCTGGGAAGGCCAAACAGAAAGACGCACCTGCCTCAGATTTACCTGCAAGGCACTGTACAGGCCACAACATGCTCTAGGAAGCTTTCTGCTATGCGATTCAGACAATGAGGTCGGCAGCGTGAGCCAAGCCCGGTAAAGTAAAGACCCGACCAGGTTGCAGCTGTGTGGCTGGATATTGCCAGCCTTGTCAATAGCTCTGCACCAAAGTTCCGTGAGCGGAGCTCCAGAAGTCTTGCCAGAGCCCTGCAGTCTAGATTCCACCACATAAAGCAAGGATGCAAGTATGTATGAACCTTCATCAACCCTAAATCTGGATAGTCTAGATTGTGTGGCTTTCTGGATATATCTGTCGTGAAGACGAACGAACTCCCGTGGAGTGCAGTGGAGGCCGTGGAGGGTACAAGGGTCGCGACTGGAGTGCGTCTGTTTTGTTGTCACGCCGAGTGTGCCTTTTTGTTGGTGTCGATGGTGTTGTTGCGCAGGATCCATTTTTGCGGCAACGTATTGGGAATTCCAATTCGCAGAATGCTGCTCTCTGTAGAATTATCGGACTGCAGAACTGCGACAGTTTGCAGGGTCTTGTTTGCCCGCAAGCTGGTGATGAATTTTACAATTGAAAGTCGCGGAGATCCGCGAAGGGGTGCGCATTCAGATTTTGCTGGAGTGGTGTCTTCGCAGCCAGTCTTCTGCTTTTGTGACCCGACACCAATTAGGTGATCTTGATCAGGGTGGCAGCGAGAGCTGGCTGCGGCAAGTCTCAAGCATGCTGTAGAACATCGGAACATTCAAAAGATCAGCGAGTCAAGGTTCTCTCGCACCGGAGCGACTTGGTGGCAGCTCGACCACCGACTCAAAGCGAACCCAACCTTGACATCGGCTAAGCTAGCTTCGGAGTGCTTTCTGCTGGCATTTCTCAGCTCCAGGCTTCGAGACGGACCTTGGCAGTCGTCATCTGGTACTTCTTCCTTGCCGCGAGGATCCGCGAGACTCAAACAACTGCACTCCGATGCTCTCTGCCTCTCCGCAACGGAAACAAAATTCCAGCTCTGAGGGGCGAAGCGGCAGGTCGCGGCTTGCCAGCTCTGACCTCTGTCTGCGGAGAGCTCCACGGACTGGATGGGATGCTGCCTCACGGACTTGCACAGCTCAGGACATCCTCCCACAATCTGCTGCGGCTATCGGGTTTATCAGCTTCTCAGGCTTTGACCCACCCCCGGCGTAGGCAACACCCTTGACCGCCACTGCAGATCTCGATTCATGGAGCCAAGCTCCAGGCTCCGGGGAAAGAATCCTCGGAACTTTCCAGGAATCCGAGCTTCGCGTCTTCGTGAGTTTGACAGCCGACATCCCTCGACCCTTTAAGTCCAGACCGGAAGCACAGAGTTCAAGGGCAGGGCATAGATCGGCGCCGATCTCCCCGCTGTGCGGTAGTAGTGGGCCGTCCAGGGACCGTCGGACTCCTTCCCAATCGCCACCTTCCTGCATGTTGATTAAGCCCTGAGCTCCAGACCGAGGGAACTAAAGACTGGCTTCTTACCATTTACAGATCACACACCGCTCGTCGTCACGGCTGATCACGGCTGTGCTCGTCCAGCATACACAAAACACCAAAAACGCATTCAGATATTGCGCCGAAACTCTTCTGGACCCCAAGCCGGCTGAGTCGAACAGGTCTCAGAAGCCTAGTTGACTTAACTTAAGCCTCTCCACTCGCACCATGAATCATAAAGTTCTTGTGGGCTCCTTGGGTGCTTGTCAGAGCCTCGCTCGTAGACTAGCGATTCGTCGCTCCGATGCAGAAACAAATTGAGCAAAAGGCTCTGCGACACGATGCTCTGTTGCTCTGCTCCTACGTCTACCGCGTCCGATGCGTGGTGCCAACGTGTGCCAAGTCGTGTGAAGCCGCTAGCGCCGCGCTGTCGTGATGCAAATGGCCGTAATCCGTGCCACGTTTCTTGGAATTTTATGGGTCTTCAGTCCCTTCTCTGACCATTCTCAATTCCACGATTGACACGGGGCAAAAGCGAGCACCGATAGCCAGAGGGTTACTGCGTCCGAGTATCGCCAACCACTTCACATTGCGGGCCCCCGCAATCCCGGGCAAGAGGGCACGCACAGGAAATCCATGATCTGGAGTCAGCTCCTCCCCATTCCTTAGGTATCCACTGCAATGAACAGTCTCAGTATGAGGTGTAGCAAAAAACTACTCGTAGCCGGTTCACAGCGGTTGGCCAACAGAAACTTTCCGGCAATTCAGCGGCTGCTTGATACGAGACTTCGTGTGTGAGAGTGCTACTTTTCTTCCGTCATTCTAAAACCATCACATTCTGCTGCGATGCAACAGGCACAAAATGTGCGCAAACTTTTTTCCCCGAAACTTTCCACCCGCGGAACACATCATAAGAATGCTGAAGCCAGAGGTTCGATAGCAACTCCGCCCCTGCACGCACAGGCAGCTTGCCGGACAACACAGCAATGACATGAACTCCTTGTCCAATTCCGAACCACCTGATCACCGAAAATATGCAAATCAGTCTCCACTGCGTACCCGTCCCAAAGATGAGTATCATGAGATCCACGGACCAAGCCGAGCATCACGAGCATCATCCGGGACTCGTTTCTCCAGCCATCCCTCCCCGGCTGTCCGCCCACCTCACCCCACATTGTGTAACGAACATGACACTGCTTTTAGCAAAACATCAGGGGTAACACTCCATGTTGATGATTTCGACATAGTTCGACGGCTCCCTCTCACCTCACCAGTTGTACGTAGTTGTACTATAGAGTCCTACAGGTTGCCATGCGTAGATTGCAAAGAAGTTTTCTGCGCTTAAGGTGCTCTTGTATGGCGAATAGGACGATTGGGTTCTGTGTTCTTTTGGATTCAGGCCCTTCATGGCCCTTCATTATCGCTAGAACAAACGTGCGCCAGTTCATTCCATTTTCGATCCGGTGTAGTACGACTCAAAACAGTTGGCTCGGCACGACTCACGCTTCAATGTTTGTGGTTTCCTCCTGGACCATGCCATACTGCACAGACTATAGAAGTGCGTGAGACCCGTTAACTGCGGGTAGGGTTGCTTGCGGGGGGTCAAAAAACCCCGAAGGTCTAGCAGAGGCCCTTCGAAACTGCCCAAACAAAAAACGTGATGCACCACAAAAAGTAGATTGCGAAAATTCTGACAAGAACACCCCGAACTTGAAAACTGCCCCAAACTCCACAATCGAAGCTGTGAAGCCTCTCCGTTCCTGAAACCTCAACTCTGAACCCTGCTAAAATCTAAACCTGAATCCCCACGCCTTCTGGACAAAGCCTTACCCCAGGGCCCCACGGTTTGTGATGCAGGGTTGTCGGTTAGGTTTGGGAGTTGAGGCCAAGCTTAGTATTGGTGAAGCCAAGCGGCAGGGCACCGCGGCGCAAGATTGCGCCAGCTACATGGTTGAATCATGTTAACGCCCTATAAACAGTAAACCTCCTAAGCTTTAGAGTTTAAACCCTGAAGCTAAAGCCGAAAAACCTCGCCGCAAAACATAAAGCCCAAGCCGAAACTCGAACTCCTTCAAAGTTTATGTTACGGGTTCGACGGCTCTGGGCACGGTCAGCTTCTTTTGCGATCATCGAACAGTGCGTCGAACAGGTTTCGAATCTCGCTGCTCCTGCAGCTTTAAACTCCAAACGTTGCACATATAAAGAGAGAGATCACTTGTACATCTCGTCGTGAGTACTAGAACACTGAACACAGAGAGGCTCGAGTGTTGACCACACATACACTTCCTGTACATCCCCCTGCGTCACGCTCAGCACTCAGCGCTGTGGTGCACTTCACTTCCTAGCCGCCCTACTCTTAGCCTTGGCTGCTGATTTCGGAGCCCTTGCACGCTCTGTTGCCTTCGCCTTGGCCGACTTGGCCGCCCGACCACGGCCGCGGCCACGAGCACGAGCAGGACGGATAGTACGATCGCTGTCCTCTGCCTCCTCATCGTCAGGAATCTCCACGGGGTCAATCCTTTTAGCCGACGTTGATGGTGTGTGATCCATCTGGCCACGAGAAGACGGCGGCGTAGAAGCCGCGTACTTCGCGGCCAGTCGCTCCTTCATCTCGTTTAAAGCCTTCGTGGCTTCGCATGGTTCACGCGGTGTCAATGGACCACGGCCGCCGGAATCGGCCTGCAGTGCAAAACAAATCGAACGCAATGAGGCCAACACAAATCTTAAGGAGTGTCATCACTGAACTGGCCAGTCGGCCTGCGCTGCAGCCAGCTCTCTGGGCTCGTTGTTCTCGAGGCCGGCGATGTCTGCATCCTGAAGCAAAGAGCGGGATACTTCTAGCAACGCGGGGTGTGCAAAATCGATCGGCCCTCTGTTCTCGACAAAACGAGTGTCGCCTCTGTCCCGTGCACCTGCTATGAGTCTGACCAGCAACCCAGCAACCGAAGCTCCACCGATTTCGTTGAACCCAGCAAGGATGGCAACACATGATTCGTCCCGGGCGGAACCTGAACCTGCGTGTGCGGGAGCTCCGGCTCTGAATCCTAGCAGTCATCAAGCCAACGAATACAAGTTCAACCCCCACTCTGACGCACCCACTGACACAACGAGCTGATTGGTCCTTGGCCGCTTCTACAACCTGCGTGTCCGGAAGCTTCGCCTCTGAATCCTCGCAGTAATCAGACGCAAATCCCTCTACCACCTAAACAAAGAGCTCCTTCGTCGCCTCTGCAACCTGTGCGTCCGGAAGCTTCACCTCTGAATCCTCGCAGTCATCAAACGCCAATCTCCATACGACATGCAGTTTCCTACAAGACCACCTAAACAACGAGCTCCTTCGTCGCCTCTGCAACCTGTGTGTCCGGAAGCTTCGCCTCTGAATCCTCGCAGTCATCAAACGCCAATCTCGATGTGACATGCAGTTTCCAAGACCACCTGAACAACGAGCTCCTTCGTCGTCTCTGCAGCCTGTGTGTCCGGAAGCTTCGCCTCTAAATCCTCGCAATCATCAAACGCCAATGTCGATGTGACATGCAGTTTCCTACAAGACCACTTGAACAACAAGCTCCTCCGTGGCCTCTGCAACCTGTGTGTCCGGAAGCTTCGGCTCTGAATCCTCGCAGTCATAAATCATCGAACACAGATAAACTGCAAGAGCCCCCCACCCCCTCCTAGCCACTGAAACAACGAGCTGATGGGTCCTTGGCCCCGGCTGCAACCTGCGTGTCAGGAAGCTTCGCATCTGCATCCTCGCAGTCATCAGGTCATCGAACACAGAACCCAACCCGCGATATGACATCATCGATGCTACTATACTCTTTTGGTGGCAGGCAAACGAAAAGTTGCCATGTTTTCTGATGGGTCCTTGATCACCGTTGGAACCTCCGTGTCGTGATTCTTGTGCTCCAAGTCCTGCCATGGATTTCTCCGTTCACAGTCATCCAATACAACAGCAACAAGAAAATTGACTTATGTCGTGTGTGGACCACTGAGCCACTGCAACAGTTAACCGGACAGACCAGCCTCAAAGCCTAAAGCCCACCCCCGAAAAAGAAAAAGAAACAAGCAACAACTGACACTGATATCGAAGCTTGGCCGCAACCTAAACCCTTAAACCAAACCCCAAAGCCCAAGCCCCTAAGCTGCTTCAATGCTGCTAAATTATATCGCCGTCCTGGGCCGGTGGAATCTTTGCAGCACTCTCCTGCCAAAGTCTTAGTTGTAGTCAAGGATAAGAGAATTCATATCTAGAAACTGCATGTGCTTCGCGCTTCTTCTCATACTCGCTCATGACAGTCGTGTCTGGGACACTGCAACGGATAGAGATATGGAAAGGCGGACAGACCAGTGGCCCCAAACTTGGCTCCTGCGCACGCGACTCCGAAACAAAGACGACGTCGTCATCGGAAGCAGCCTCCGCTGCACTCGCGTGGCCAGCCAAGTCTACCGAGTTGGCCGGCCCTTCCTCTTGTTTCACCTCAAGGAGCTCAGGCTGTGCTTGTGTCGTCGGCTTGTCGTTCTCGGCTGACATCACCGGCGGCTCCACAGTCATGCCCATCTTTGAGACCCAAGGCAAAAGCTGCATCTTTCCCACGGTCAGGTGGTTCTGCAAGCTGAGCAAGTACCGGCTGTTCTCGAAGTTGCCAGAAGAGATGTCACACTGCAACAAGTGAAGGGCACATGTCAAATGTCGCTCCCAATCTAGAACCATGTCCATATGCGGGTAACGCAGCGGCATGCTGCTCCAGGCCGCCATTGTGGAAGTTTCGGTCATGTTGGTCTCAGCGGTAAGGTGGCCAGGGGGGATCTGCAGAGCCCGCCCTGGTTTCAAGACCGCAATCCAGCCCGACAAATCGAATAGAACACTTGCATCCAGACACACCAGCAGCTCGCAGAGCTTGACGAAGGATTTTCTGGAGTCCGAGTTGTTCTGCGCGCTGAACTTCTCCTCGTAATCCGCTAAGTCTGCCAAGCCCACTCCGCAGATAAACCGGCAGCCGCTCAGAACCGATACTGTCCTGCGCGCGAGGGCCCCCTCTGACCCCTCTGACCCACAACACGAGATCAGACTCAGCGTCAGTCCTTCCCAGCATGCACTCGTTCACTCCTTGGCGCAAGCAAGCCCGCAGGACATACATGTGTACAAAAACAATTGTCAGGAAATTCGTGGTTAAACCAGAACCGTGGTAAACATGCAAAGTTATTGCACATTTAAAATCCGTTGGACTTGAATTTGACGAGGTTTGAACCCCAAAAAGACCTGCTGATGCACACGATGCTCGGCCCCTGCCTGGCCAAAAGAGGATGCTAGTTAAGGGCGCTCCGTTCGGTTGCGGAAGGTTTTCCACCCACATGTTACTATTTACTTGAGTACTAGTAGTACCACTGGTAAAGATACAAAGTTATTGCACAGAACAATTTTCGGGAAGTTCGTTGTTAAACAAACAAAGTCATTGCACAAACCATGTTTTCTCGCCCTTTTTGCCCCCAACAAACTACTGGACTAAATGTGTCCCAAAAACTACTTCACTAAATGTGTCGCCCGGTTCATGCCAAGATTCCGACCATATGATGGAGAGGCGTCGCACAATTGAACCGCAAGCAGAACAAGCGTCTGAAAACTTCCTCGTCCTGCGACTTGCTGTTGCTGTGGTTGCGAAGATC